ACAAACCTGAGAAGAGCAACTGATATCACTATAGCAAGGAATTTTACACTTTGTAGGTCCGAGTAAAATACTCAAAAGACCACTACAACACTCAAAAGAAATAACCCTCTTTAGATATTCCCACCTCACTACAATATCACTCACTCTCTATTTTTCTCACAGACTATTTTCTTATACCCTGTCTGTGAAACCTCACTCTTTCTTTCTAACCCTCAGATATATTTTTCCTCTGAGATTGGTGTATAAAATGAGAGTCGAAGCTCTCCTTTTATAGGCAGAACCTCGCCTACTACGCTTGACATTTTTCATCTGCACACCTGCCATATTTGACAAATGTAGAAAGAAACGTGGGCTGCTAATCAAGGAAGAAATTTTCTTCCTTGATTTACAAAATGGACCCCACAAACCTCCCCCTCCAGTCCCATTCACCTGAAGGAGGTAACACCGGAGGTTCTAGTTTGAGTGTATGCCAACAAGTTTCTTGCATAGCTCAAACTTGTCTCTTGGTACCACTTTGGTCAGCATATCCGAAGGATTCTCACTTGTATGGATCTTCTTTACCTGCATAGACCCATCATCTATCCTTTCTCGAATCCAATGATACCTCACGTCGATATGCTTCATCTTTGTATGATACATGGTATTTTGCTCAGGTCTATTGCACTTTGACTGTCACAATAGACGACATACTCCTTATGATGCAATCCAAGCTCTTGAAGGAACCGTTTGAGCCATACCATCTCTTTGCCAGCTTCAGTAATGGCAATATACTTCGCTTCAGTTGTAGAGAGTGCGACACACTTCTGTAACCTTGACTTCCATAATATATCTCCCCCTGAAAATGTAAACAAATATCCAGTAGTGGATTTTCTATTATCAATGTCACCTGCCATATCAGCATCTGTATAGCCCTTCAAGATTGGATGCGATACTCCAAAGCACAGACAATCTCCTGTGGTACCTCTTAGGTACCTAAGTATCCATTTGACTGCTTCCGAATGTCCCTTTCTAGGATTTTCAAGAAACATGCTGATAACACCAGCTGCGTGAGCAATATCAGGTCTAGTGCATACCATTGCATACATCAAGCTTCCGACTGCTGAAGAATAAGGAACTCTAGCCATGTTCCCTTTCTCCTCCTCTGTTGTAGGACACATCTTTTTGCTCAACTTTAGATGACTAGCAAGAGGTGTGTTGACTGGCTTAGCATTCTTCATGTTGAAGCGTTCTAGTACACGTTCAATATACTTCTCCTGAGATAGCCACAACTTTCTACTTGTTCTCTCTCAAACTATCTTTATCCCTAGAATTTGTTGTGCTGGGCCCAAGTCCTTCATATCAAATGACTTGGAAAAATCTCTCTTCAACTTTATGATCAACCCCTTGTCTTTTCCTACAATTAACATGTCATCCACATACAACAACAATATAATAAAGTTATTCTCAGAAAATCTTTTAAAGTATAGACATGGATCAGAATAGTTCTTTAGGTATGTTTGACTTTTCATGAATGAGTCAAACTTCACGTACCACTGCCTTGGTGCCTGCTTCAATCCATAAAAACTCTTATTCAATTTGCACACCATGTGTTTCTTTCCAGGTACTTCAAATCCTTCTGGCTGCTCCATATAAATCTCCATGAAGAAATGCAGTTTTCACATCCAACTGCTCCACTTCAAGATCTAGGCTAGCTGCTAAGCTAAAAATTGTTCGAATAGAAGTCATTTTGACAACGGGTGAGAAAATTTCATCAAAATCATTACCTTTCTTCTATCCGAAGCCTTTAACCACCAATCGAGCTTTGTATCTGACCAGCTTGCCATTTCCATCTTTCTTGAGTTTAAAGACCCATTTGCATTTAAGTGGTATTTTACCCTTTGGAAGTTCAACCAACTTATACGTACCATTTTTCTGTAGAGATTCCATCTCTTCTTGCATGACTTTCATCCACTGGTTCTTTTCTGGATGTGACAGCACCTCCTTAAGACTTTCTAGCTCCCCCTCATCACTGATGAGGACATACTCTGTGGAAGGGTACCTGCATGACTCTAACCTTGGCCTCTCTGATCTCCTCAGAGGTTGAGGTTGTTCTTCTTCCTGAGTGGGGTCCTCCACTTCCTCGATACCTTCATCAAGTTGCTCCCCCTGCTCAATAACCTCACTAAGTTGCTCCCCCTGCTCGGCAACCTCGTCGGTAGTATTTTCTGCACTTGTGAGATTGTTAGAAGTAGAAGGAATAGTAATAAGGTTATGAATTATACCATTCTTCGCCTTTTCTGACATATCAGCAGCATTTCCAACTTCACTTTCTCGGAAGACTACATCTCTGCTTCTAATGACCTTCTTCTTTACAGGATCCCACAATCTGTACCCGAACTCTTCATCTCCATATCCGATAAATATGCAGGGAACATATTTATCATCCAGCTTTGTTCTCTGCTCTTTTGGTACATGTGCAAAAGCTCTACAACCGAACACCTTCATATGTGAGTAGGACACCCCTTTGTTGGTCCAAACTCTCTCTGGGATGTCAAACGCCAACGGAACTGATGGACTTCTATTGATTAGGTAACAAGCTATCTGAACTGCTTCCCCCCAGAATGACTTAGGCAGTTTAGCCATTCTGAGCATGCTTCTCACTTTCTCCACAATGGTGCGATTCATTCTCTCGGTTATGCCATTGTGTTGTGGGGTTCCAGGAACTGTCTTTTCATGTCTGATCCCATGAATTGAACAGTACTCTTCAAATTCCCTTGAAGTGTACTTACCTCCATTGTACTTCAGAGATGCTTTAGCTTTCGACTCGTCTCCCTTTCTACTAGAGCATGAAACTTCTGGAAAACTTGAAACACCTGATCTTTGGTTTTCAAAATATAAACCCATAATTTTCGTGAAGCATCATCAATAAAAGTAACAAAATATTTGTTACCGCCCATTGATTCAATTTCCATTGGGCCGCAAACATCAGAATATACTAAATCAAGTATATTCAATTTTCTTTCAGACGATGTCTGAAATGAGACTCTATGCTGCTTACCAAATAAACAGTAGTCACAAGGTTTTACAGTTGTACCTTTGGCATAAGAAATGAGTGATTTCTTGGCAAGAATCTGCAATCCCTTCTCGCTCATATGACCCATTCTTTTGTGCCATAAATCTACAGAAATCTCATCTTGTGCCGCGTTCAATTCACCTTGGCATATTTCTGCATTTGTCCTGTACAACGTGCCACGAGCAACTCCCTTTGCAATCACTAATGATCCCTTAGTAAGTCTCCACTTTTGATTTGCAAAATAGTTCTCGTATCTATCTCGGTCTAAAGCAATTTCCGAGATCAAGTTCATCCGCAAATCAGGTACATGCCGCACATCCTTTATAACCAATGTGCATCCGACATTTGTCTTGATACAAATGTCACCAATCCCCTCAATCTTTGAGTAACTTGTGTTACCCATTCACACTGTGCCGAAATCACTTACTACATATCTGCAAAAAAGATCTCTTACCGATTTGGCATGGTAAGATGCCGTTGTGTCAACCACCCATTCCGACTTTGGGCCTGACATGTGCATGCATTCCTCTTCCTCATTTATAAAGAGGACAACATTATCATTGTTTTGCACCATTGCGGCTGTGTTGTCGTCATTCTTCTAGCCACTGGTTTCACCTTTGCTCTTCCTTGGATTTGGGCAATCTCTTTTGAAGTGACCTGGTTGATTACAGTTGTAGCAATTTCTGGCTCTTGATTTGGATCAGTTCTTTGACTTCCCACGAGATCCGGATCTACCATAGTTGCTCGAACTCCTTTGATAACTCCTGCCTCTACCTTCTGTGATGAGAGCATGTCCTTGATTTTCAGGCTTCTTTCTCATCTTCTCATTGAGTAGAAGAGCCGATATGACATCTTTCAACTCAATAGTAGTCTTACCGTGCAGGATGGTTGTTGCCAAATTATCGTACGAAGATGGAAATGAGTTCAATAACAAGATGGCTTTATCTTCTTCCTTAATTTTCACTCCGAGGTTGGCAAGCTATGTGATTAGTCCGTTAAATACATTTAAATATGACAAAAAATTCGTACTTTCACCCATGTGTAGGGCGTATAACTGCTTCTTCAGGTACAATTTATTTGTCAGCGTTTTGGACATGTATAGGCTTTCCAACCTTGTCCAAATTCCACGTGCAGTGTCTTCATCAATGATGTTATTTACCACATCATCTGATAAGTGCAACCTGATTGCACTAGCAGCTCTTTCATCTAAGTCAGCCCAATCCTCAACTTTCATAGTATCAAGTTTTTTGGCATCAACATCTAGTACCTTGTGTAATCCTTGTTGGATGAGCAGATCCCTCATCCTTCTTTGCCATGTTGAGAAACCATTATTTCCGTTAAATTTTGATGCCTCGCACTTTACTCCGGACATTTTTATTTTTCACCGAGTATAGTACTACCGATAGTGAATAATATTTCAGTGAACGAGCAGAACCTGTGTTCTGATACCAGTTGTTGGGAATAAACCCTCTACAAAAATAATTTTACGGTAATAAAAGCGGAATAATAACGTAGCACCGAGATACGGTAATTAACAAGAATAAAAGAGTAACAACAACACCAAGATTTTTACGTGGAAACCCTTTTGAATAAGGGAAAAAACCACGACCCTAAGAAGAGCAACTGATATCACTATAGCAAGGAATTTTATACTTTATAGATCCGAGTAAAATACTTAAAAGACCAATACAACACTCAAAAGAAATAACCCTCTTTTGATATTTCCACCTCACTACAATATCACTCACTCTCTATTTTTCTCACAGACTATTTTCTTATACCCTGTCTGTGAAACCTCATTCTTTCTTTCTAACTCTCAGATATATTTTTCCTCTGAGATTGGTGTACAAAATGAGAGCCGAAGCTCTCCTTTTATGGGCAGAACCTCGCCTACTACGCTTGACATTTTTCACCTGCACGCTTGCCATATTTGACAAATGCGGAAAGAAACATGGGCTGCTAATCAAGGAAGAAATTTTCTTCCTTGATTTATGGGATGGACCCCACAGTGGGACAGTGTGGTAAGTTCATCTGGGTCATCAGCAAGATCTTCAAGTTCTAGATATGGTGGAAAATCCAATTTGATTATGTCTTCTACAAAATGTTCTCTGTCCGAGGTAGTGCTTTGTAGTCAAACTTCCATCTTTCTTCCTTCCTTCTTTTGGGCTTGGGGGCACTATGTTGCTAAATATGAGGCCATCTGTATGCTGTCAAATAGTTTAATAAGGGACATTGTTTAAATTTTTTACCTATGCTTTACTTCCTTCTAGGATGGAGTAGATGACACAATGGTGCCTCTGAAGATCAAAATCAAGAGATTACTGAAAGTACGTGTCTAGACATGGAGTATAATTCTGATCATGCCTGGTAATTATCTTTCCATTTATAATACCTACAGTATTATGAAGCAAGTCGTATGACCTCCCTCCGCAGTTTATACGTGCTTACTATGTGTTATTTTGCGGCCCTAGTAATCAATTTTATTATTTTTGATAGAGCAAATAATCACTTCTGTTATACATATATGACCGAGAAGAAGGTAGTACAGTGTTTGAGGGGGATGGTTCATCAGTGTTCCTTAGTGTTCCTTGGTGACGAGGCATCTTTCCAGAAGAAAGAGGTGGAATTAGCCAAAAAAAACTGGTAAGTATGGAGATACAAAAGTCTTAAATCATTCTTCTGGCATATATTCGCATTTATATGTTTGTGCTAGAACTAGCAAACTCATGTATGTTACTGGGACTCGGTGGAAGTTGTAACGACATGAATGGCTGATTCTTTCTATTGTTTAGAAAACTTACTTGCTGATTAAGTTTAGCTTACACTTGGAAATTCATGTCACTGTCTGCATGACAATCTTACGTGCCATAACTTGCTGTATTTGAGAGACTATGAAGATTATGCTTACTGTCCTGGATCCCGCTGTCATCAATAACTGATGATGCGAATAAGAGGGATTGTTTGTATGGAAATGATACGGAAAAATAATAATAATACTGTAATAAAATTATTTGTGAGCGGAAATACACCAACTACTTGAGTAAGGTTAGACACTATCCTAAGAAACTATTTCAGCAATGTGAAATATTTTCCCATGATTAAACAAGCCCATCTCTATTTATTTAGAGGATACAGAAATCAACAAAATTAAATAATAAATCCAGCAAAGTTAGAAGAGAAAGAGCAACTAATATTTTATGCCAATTAAAATATTATAGAAGAAGAAATTAGAAGGAGAGGGCCGTAGGAGGAAAAGAAGATAGAAGAATTTCTTCTTTTGCTAATGATTAGCTTTTCTTGGTGTTCGATGATCGAAGAATGATAGCCTAATCATGGCTATATATACGCCTAAGGAAAGCTTCTACACAAGACAAGTGTTTTACTTGTCAAATTTGCTTTATGCAAGATGACAACACATCCCATGCAAAATGACATTTGGCTTAGCAAGGCCATTTGTCAAGCAATTTTTTAAAAAAATGCTACATGTAAAAACTCTTGCCATGTACCAATTATGTAAGAGTATTTGGCCACAAGACTTCATGCAAAAAGCCACTTGGAAACACTACTAGAAATCAGGTGATTTCGATTTTCGCCGCAATTTCCGACCAAATTCCGACCGATTTTAATTGGACGAGAAAATGATGGTCGCAAACGTTTACCGACCGCAATTGGTTGGAAATTTCCGATCGAAAACGGTCGAAAACTTCAACACGTTGACTGACTATCAAACTTTATTTTCCGACCGAAATCGATCGGAAATTATTAAATATTTTTTAATTTTCAAATTTCTGACTGAAACTGGTCGAAAATTATTAAATATTTTTTTAATTTTCATTTTCCGACCGAATTCAATCGAAAATTTTTAAAAATAATAATTTTATTTAATTAAATAATTATTTGTAAATTGTTAATTTATTTTAAAAAATAAATAAAATTCATAATTTCCGACCGAATTCGATCGGAAATTTTGAATTTCTAGGAAAAAAAGAGAGATTTTTAACAACAAATCTCATCCTAAAATGGCAGCATTGCATTGCTTCCATTCAACCAATACCAATACCAATAACAATAACAATAACAACAACAAGAACAACAACAAGAACAAAAATAACAAGATTCATAGAAATTAATACCTAGAAGATACTTTCATATATCATACAAAAGTTTTATACTATTTACTTCCATAAAGCATATTAGAGTATCTTGCCATTTTGATGCACTGAAGGGTAAGTTTAATACATGTATACTTGCCCAGCATCGTTAGTTTGTGTACTAATATCAGCACTTCTCTCAACCAATTCATTCATAACTCATTGCCCTAAGCAACGGACAAAGTGGAGTGGCACCCAACAACTTCGAGCTCACTTCAGTCACATTTGCGGTGACTTCTTCATTAAGAAGTCTACCAATAAAACAATGCAATCAATCAGATTAAGAGTCACGACAATAATGTTGAACTATACGAGACTAACTTCCAACAGTACATATAAAAAACTCTCTCCTAGTAGGAGATTCGTTATTAAGTTGAATAAGGAATAAACATGGTTCAGTGCAAAATGTAATGAGAAATTGATAAATTAATAGGACAATAATTCAAAACGTTTAAAAAGAATAAGACATATACTTTGTTGTTGCAATTTCGAGTGATGAATCAAAGCAAAAACACATATAACTAAAGCTAATAGGTCAATTTTTACTATGCTGTACTTAAGAAATTAGCAGAGAACTTTAGCATCTTTCCGGGAAAACTCACAGTTAGAGATTATATCACTTGTTCATGTTTCTGCTTATGTCCCTAAACATGAAAAGTTTAAAAATTTACCAGAATCCTTTTGGTAGAAGATATAAAGCAAGAATAAACTTTGTGAAGCATTTTCATGAGTAAAAGAATAGGCTCAATTGTAGTAATTACCAAGTAATTATATGCTTATGACCCCAATGCTTGACAAGAGTTGAATTGATTTTTTCTATCTTGTGTCTGCTATCACATTGCAGATAAGATAATGGACTCAACTAAAGCAGTGTGTCGGCTTTCATGAGAATTATTGTGCAGCAGAAGAGTACGGCTGCGATGGCCATCTTTTGTTATCATTGCTTTCACCATCAAGAGCATTCCGACCAATCCAATTATGAAAATCTGCATCTTGTGCCCACTTAACAGCAGATGAGCCTGAAAAATTCATCGTGTTACAAAAATATACCTTCACTTAACTAATTAACAAAAAATGAATTAAATCAAGCAAGATTATCTCAAGGGCAAACTTTATATTGGTAAGAGAAATACAGACTCGATCTCTACCGAGAAAGGTAAAAGCAAAAAACTCATATGTTGACCTATATGTGATAGCCAAATAATGTATGTGAATTAGAGAAGTCACCAAGTTTCTTTCTAAACACATCACCAAACAAAAAACTCTAGTTCCCAGTCAAAGTTCTCATCATATGCTGCTTAATGGAACTGAAAAGCAGCAATCCTTAACATCACAAGGCAAAATCCCACAAATACTTAAAAGGAGTATCAATAATTAACAAACCAAGGTAATGTCCGAGAACCTCTTAAAGAAAAGCATCTAGGCAAGTTAAGCTTAAGTCGAATCAATATGAGTATTCTTATGCATATCACACTTTCTGACTATTTAGCGCATCTATTTCCTTTGTAAAGGCTCCAATGAGTAAAGAACCAACCAAACACTTGTCCAGAAAGAAATAGGAATAGTATGACCTGTGGACATTGCTTTCAAATTTATAAAGCTTTTATAACAAGAAAGTTGAATATAAGCGAGAAGTAATCCCAAAAGACATCCATATGGTAATTGAATATAAGCTAGACGTAATCCCAAAAGATATCCATATGGTATACTCACTCTCTCTGTATTTCCTGTCACCAATAAATCCTGGATTTATGGCACCACCATCATCCTTGTTCAACTGCGAAAGAAGGTGGTCAAGTAAGATAATAAAAATTAGCAGAAGATTGTGAGGTCCTACTTCCTAGTCAGATGGCAATGTAGACCAAAGGAAGCACTAACAATCCAGTGAAGCTTGAACATTCTAGAGAACAGGGTCCAAAAATTAAAGAGGAACTGTGGACCTCTAGTTCATATTTTTGAGCTTGGAACAATCATGGAAACCGTGGAAACTAAATTATTTCAGTCATTCTTCACAAAGATATAACACACGATTAATAAAAATAATGTTCAAATTGGACCAAACAACTTTAAAAGAATTACCTTTGAAAATGTGCTACTAAGGTCATCAATCTCAGACAAAGATCCAAGAGCTTCACCCTACAAGTGAGAAATTGTTTAGATGCAAATGTTCACCAATTTAGCACCCAACTACTAAGAACTAAAGTGTAACAGTTTTGATATTTTTTGGATATTTTGGATTAAGAAAACAAATAAAGAAATCAAAGGAAAAGATAAAATTTCATTATCCAGGCTAAAATCCTCTTACAGATCCTAGTAGTGATATATCCATTCCATGGACCCCTCTCTGACAAACCTACAATACTTGGACACCTAGCTATTTCTAGAATATTCTATAGGCCACAACTGGCTCTTTTAGGGAAAATAGAAATCAACTAATTAATTCTTCATGGACTACTATAAGCGATTGGGCTGTTACTCGTATGTAGTTTTCAAGTTGGCTGCGTCCAGGCCCAATAGTTGATTAAAGCCCCATGACCAGAATTGCTAGCTTCAGACACTAATATTAAATCTCTTCATGACATTCCACTCCCCTTAAGAACCTTGATAACGAATCAAGGTTCAAAATTAGGAAACTGAGATTTCACAAATTCCCAGTCTTCCCAAGTAGCTTCATCAGGGGACAAATTGGCCCATTGAACCAAGACCTGTGTTGCAGCTTTGTTTTCTTTTTTCATCATTCGCCTTTCTAAAATGGCCATGGGTTCAGTCAAAGTCTACCCCTCAGAAGTGCAGTATGGAGGATCATGAGATGCAATTACCTTATCTCCGACCTTCTTCTTAAGTTGTGACACATGGAAAATGGGGTGTATTTTTGAACCAGCGGGCGGTCGGAACTCATAAGCAACTGTGCCAATTTTGCGAATTACTTCGTATGACCCAAAGAATCGAGCTGATAGTTTTAGGTTTCTCCTTACTGCCCCGGAGGTTTGACAATAAGGTTGTAACTTTAAGAACACCCAATCACAAATTTCGAAATTTTCTTTCCTTCTTTTAGCATCTGCATAGTGTTTCATACGATTTTGTGCTTTTGTGAGGTTATCATGAAGAACTTTACTCATCAACTGCCTGTCTCTGAGCATCTGATCAACCTCCACTGATTTGGACTGTGCTATTAATTCAAAAGAGGGTTGTGGAGGTTCATAACCATACAAGGCCTTGAAGGGCGTCATGCCAATTGCTGATTGAAAATTGGAGTTATACCAGAATTCAGCTAAAGAAAGCCACTTGCTCCACTCTGATGGTTTATGGCCAGTCATGCACCTGAGGTAGGCTTCCACACATTTGTTGAGCTTTTCTGATTGCCCATCTGTTTGAGGATGATATGCAGTGCTGGGCTTTAATTGGACTTGTAAACTTTTGAATAGCTCTCTCCAAAAAGTACTTAGGAAAATAGGGTCTCTATCAGACACATATGAACTAGGAAGCTCGTGTAACTTGCACACATTGTTTAGAAAAACTTGTGAAATGATGGTGGCATCATAGGGGTGTGTGAGTGCAAAAAATTGTGCAAATTTGGTGTATCTGTCGATTACCACAAGGATTGAATCTCTTCCTTTCGATTTGGGCAGGCCACTGATGAAGTCTATGGCCAAGTGTTCCCATGCTCTGTTGGGAATTGGAATGGGCTGCAATAGTCCCAGATATGGTGTATTTTCTCCCTTGCACCTCTGGCACATTTCACATTCTTTCACAAAATTCTTGACATCTTGTAACAAGCTAGGCCAGTAAAACAACTGTCTTATCAT